GAGTCTCTACTATCCAAACTAAGTGACAACGACAATGCTGAAAGTTTGTCATCCTGCGGCTCTCCGAAACTTTGAACTACCTGAAAGAAATTAAAAATAACAAAAAGAACAATAACAAGAGCGTCAGAGCGCTATAGCAAGATCACATTCATCTGCCCCTAGGGGAAAGGGCTGTTAGATAAAGTGGAGGCTCTGTCTATTAAGCATAGTCTACCTAGATCATTTACCATGTGTCTAAGTGGACTTAATATTTAGAAGCCCACAACACGAGACGTAGTGCGTCGAGAGAAATAATTCAAATAAGGAAACACTCATGTATATATCATTTGTCTCAAATTGTAGATAACTAAATACTAATACCGAACTAGGAATAAATAATCTAAATAAAATCAATAATTAGAAACTCACAACATGAGACTGGTACGTCAAGCGAAATAATCCAAACAATGAAACTCTCATGTATATACCATGTGTCTCATATTGTGAATCACTAATAATTGATTCCAACTAAGAAATAAAGAAAACAGTACGGGAAAAAAATAAAGACATCAATATATCACATTTATAATATCTTCCACTATCACTTGGAAGATAAAATAAATATCAGCATAATGATCTTGCGTACTTTCAAGGACAAAGTACATCAGTCATATATCTCAGCAATGATCCATGTTCATAATTGACATCCACCAAAGACTCAGGCTATCAACAATCGTCACAATGCAAATCCTTGCAAGTTATGATTCATCGCATTAACATGTAGGATGGACTACCAAGTCGGTATCCTAATTGTGTACTCGGCTCATTAGTCTCATTGCATCTCTGTACGTAACACGAGTGTGGGACGACCTACTAAATAGGCATCCTAGAAATACGGCTCACAAGCCTCATCGCACCCTAGTGCGGGACGGACTGCTAGATAAAGCATCCTAAACACAACTCAATAGCTTGTACAAATGGTATATCGACGCACTACTCCACGTAGTACTGAGCGGTGCTCATCAACGATATCCAACATGTATATAAAGTGTGTATATAACTTCTATCTCAAGTGTAATCGAAACAATACTTGTCATACTCTCTCTTCGGGATATCTGTGTGTGTGTGTTACGACATTATACGTGTGTACTCACGACTGTACGTGCATCATTGTGTGGCTCGAACCCCGCGATCATAAAACAAAAGTGTAAGAAACAACACTCAGGAAACAACAAGAAACAGCCAAACTAGTCGACTAATACCCTTATTAGTCGACTAATCACCTTACTAGTCGACTACTAATAGTAGTAGTCGACGACTAACAAACTGAAATCAGTCTATTTGATCTCCTGTACATGTTTCGTATATTGTAACTTTATTCAAAACTTATTTTTATTAATAGGAAGCATAAAACAAGATTTACAATTAACAATTATTTGACAGAGATTATCTCAACAATATTTAAGCTTTTAAATTAATCAAATTAGGGTTAATATCCTAATTAAGCATATTTTTCAATTAAAACATGGGTTATTAACATGATTAGCATAAGCATGTTTGCAAATTAACTTAGAACAAATATAAATTTGTTTAACCATGTTTACAGAACTTAGGTATCACAAACCTAGGGTTTTAACATCTTTAATTAACTAGAAAACTCATTTAATTGTAAAAATAGGGTTTAAAACATGATTAGAGTATGATTAACGTATTAAAAATAAAATTTATAATAACCCTAATGATCATGATCATGAATCTAACATAAAAAGCAAGGAAAAGTTACTTATCTAGCATTGGGCTAAGATTTAATATCAAAAATTAAGCTTTTATCACATAATATTTAGATCTAAGCATCATATTAATCATATTACTTCATAAAAAACATGTTTTAATCTATGGGTAAGGTTTGGAGGAAGATGATCTTGCCTCAACAACGTGTTGTAGCTCCTCAAACACGTGTGCAAGATCTCTCTTCAACAAAAAACCTATGATCTCACTCTTCGCGTGATTATATGTCTCGAATCTCCTCGAGAAATACTTAAAATAAGATCTATGATTTGAGGGGAGAGGGTGGCTGTGAACTCATGTGAAAAGTGCAGGAATAGGGTTTAAAATATGTATATATACATAGATATAAGCCTGGGCTCGAAACAAAATGAATACGACCCGAAACTCATTAGGAATCAGGAAACAGTCCGACTAATCGACTAATACCATTATTAGTCGCCTAATCACCTTACTAGTCGACTACTAAGGGTAGTAGTCGACTAGACAGACTGAAATCAGTCTGTTTGTGCATGTTTCGTGCATGATTCTCTTCTACACTCACATACATACATTGAATTGATCTAAAATCAATTCCTAGCATACTCAATCATCAATAAATTATATTTATCACTATATATTCAAATTTACGTGGTTTTACATTCTTTCCCCTTAAAAGAATTTCGTCCCCGAAATTCCGTAATCATATCTTAAAAACTAATAATACTAGAAAAGCATGTTGAGGGGATAATCCAGACAAAGAAACCCTTACATACACATCTCGTATCATTAATCTCTAGATATGAAATAAAATAATATCTATACTTAACAATCTAGAATGTGAATACTCCCACTTAACTCCTAACTAAACGGAACTAGTACGTCGGACGAAAAATCTAAACAAGGAACCCCCCATATATATACGATGCGTGAAAGTACTCTAATGCCACTAGGGAAGAACCCTAGAGGGGGGGTGAATAGAGTTTATGCTAATCTAATCCGATTTATGCCAATTAAAAACTTACTAACAAATATCCTAGCAAATAAGATATGAAATAAGATATATACAAGGATAAGCAATATAAACAAGGGTAAACAAATAGTGTAAACAATATAGTGGACAAACTAAATAATGAGACAATAACGATATGAGCAATGAGCACAAGTATAAATGCACGCCAATGCAAACTCAAACACGATCAAATGATCACGGAGTTCGGACCTTCCATCCTACGTCTCCGCTCCACACTCCCGGGGAGAAATCCACTATACAACCGGGTTCTCAAAGCTCACCCGAATAACGTATTACACCTCACAATTCGGTTTTCTAGCTCACCGAAAACTTTACAATCACTCACAATGTAAACACACTAACTACCACCTCAAGTGTTGGTCTCTAGCCTATGTCTCCCTCAAGTGTTAGGAATTACAACCTCTCTCTAGGCATTACCACCTACCCCACTCCTCTTGGGACGACCCCGTCTCTCACCACACACTCCTCTTGGTGTACTAGTATATTACAAAGTGATTTTCATAATTAAGGCTCACAATACAACAAGTTTGTTCTCTACAATAGATGAGAACTCAATGTAGGCTCACACTCAATTGTTACAACTCTCACAATCCTAAATATACTATGTATGAAAATACTAAAAGCTCAATGTGGGTGTGTGTAATAATGAGATTTAATAAAACAAAATCAAACTAAACTCAATTATGAACATCTAGCTTATAGAGATGATAATCAATAAACAATGTAAATACAAAACTAGAAATTGAGTTTAGAAAACTTCTCTATAGATAACAAGAGAGAGGGAGAATAGTGAATGCTCAAACACCAATAGATGATCTCCACTTGCTCTTGTGAAATTGTCTTCACAAACAAAACACTTAAACAAGGCTTAAACACCTTTAAACAAACTGAACAAACTTTTAAAACCCTTGTAAAACTTTTCTCTTAAGTAAATAGAACTGAGGATATGTGGGGGTATTTATAGAAATCCCAAAGACAAGAGAAACAAGGCAAAAAGACCAAAAAACCAAATCTGTAAAAGGCTAAAAAACTAGCCGTTACAGCATCAGTCGACTGATGGCTTTCATCAGTCGACTGATGAGCTGACCATTAGAGGCGTTTTCCAGCTCATCAGTCGACCAACGGACCTTATCAGTCGACTGATGACCTCATCAGTCGACTGGTCAGTCAACCAAAATAAAACAGAAACTTTTTTGTTATTCTAGGCGTTTTCTTCAGTCGACTGAACATATTCATCAATCGACTGATAACACTGTATCAGCCTGATTTGAATAGTAAAACTAATTTTTGAAATGTCTTTAAAAATAGCAAGAAAATTCCAAAAAATGTAAAACTTTAGAAAATCATTGTAAACATGTAAATGAACATGTTACAAAAAGAATTTTTGGAATTGCACTTCTCAATAATAAAAACTCATTATTTTTTAAATATGTCCAAAAACATGAAAACTAAACATACATGTTTTTGTCATTTGACATAAACACAATATTAAAACTTTTGTAAAATGATTTTATAGACTTAATGAATTGATATAAACTGATATTAAAGTCTATAAACTAATAAAACAAGAACACAATATTTTTCCAAATACAATAGAATATGAAACATATAAAAGTATATATAAAGATATATATTGTTTCATATTTATCTAGCTAAACCAAAACATATATGTATATATATAACTATATATATACAAAAACCAAAACATGTATGTGTGTATATAATTGAGCTTAAAGTACTAACACACATAATATAAAACCTAAACTAAATTACCCAAGCTTGATGAAGGTCTTCAATAAGCTCGACTTGATAAACTTGCGGATGAAGCTTGAACTTGGATCTTCAACTTGAATTGCAAGGCTTCAACCACTATTCCGCCAACCTCCATTGGATATGATCGTGAATGCTTGATTTTATTCATCCTCCAACATATTGTTTGCCTAGAATAAATACAAAACATAAACACTAGACAAACAACATTAGTGATAAATTATTTGTTAAACATCATCACAACAAAAGGACCCAACAATGCGTTCCAAATGATTAGGAGCTAAGTGTTAACACCCCCATTCTAGCGTTAAATATAAATATGACCATATAGATAATCATAAGCACAAGCAAAATCATAACCAAATCAATTTACATGTTCAAATAGGTGCGGGTAGTCGCTACGCATATCCTCCTCGCGCTCCCAAGAAGCCTCCTTAGCTTCTTTCCGGCTCCATTAAACTTTGACTAAATGTATCACTTTATTTCTAAGTCTTTTGTCCTCTCTAGCAATAATACAAACTGGAATCTCAATAGTGATCAAATTATCCTGAAGCTCTATCTCCGGAGCGTCCAACACTCGTTGTTGCTCCTTATCACTTAAATGCTTCTTGAGCATCGAAACATGGAAGACACTGTGTATGCTCGACATTGATGCTAGAATATCTAGCCGATATGAAACGACTCCAATGCGCTCAACTATTCTGAATGGGTCAATATATCCCGGGGAAAGCTTTCCCCGTCTACCAAATTGTTGAACTCCCTTTATTGGCGATACTTTCAACAATATATAGTCCCCAACTTGGAACTCTAACGTCATTGCCTCTGATCTACGTAGCTCTTCTGACAACTCTGTGCTACAAGAATACGCTCCTGGATTAGTGCTACCTTCTTTATGGTCTATCTCACGAGTTTCGGCCCATGTAGCAAGCTGTTCTCTGGTTCTGCCCAACAAATAGGGAATCTACAAGACCTCTCGTACAACACCTCATACGATGCCATACCTATCGTCACTTGATAACTGTTGTTATAAGCAAACTCGATCAATGGAATGTGATCCTCCCAGCTGCCCAGGAAATCTATAACACATGCTCACAACATATCCTCCAATCCTTGGTTAACCCTCTCTATTTGTCCGTTTGTCTATGGGTGAAAAACACTAGAATATGACAACTAGCTACCGAAAGAATTCTGGAAGCTTTTTTAGAAATGTAAAGTGAAAACCGAACCTCGATCTGATATAATCGTCTCTGGAATTCCATGCAATCTCACGATCTGCTGAATGAATACCCTCGCATAAGTCTACGTTGTGTAAGTCGTCTTCACCGGTATGAAATGTGCAGACTTCGTCAACCAATCAACTATCACCCAAACTAAATTGGTCCCCTTCTTCGACCTCGGCAGTCCTACAATGAAGTCTATAGAAATATCTGCCCACTTCCACTCCAGAATGGGTAACGGCTGTAGGGTTCCTTGTTTAGTGGAAAATTTGTAGTAAAAAGCATGAAAGAAATTTGATTTGTATTCTCTCGATTTCAATTACAATTTGGATTTCTGATTATAAAAGAGAGGAGAATGATATGGATTCTCCCCTTTGTTTAATTCTGGGCTCTTCACAGTAGCGATGAGATGCCTCCCTCGAATGCTTGCGTCAAGTTTGCTTCTCGTTGATGATCCGAACGTCTTGTCTTCACTGGAACAATTAGAGAACTCTTTATGAGTTTTATGACTCAGAACGAGTGCAAAACTCTATTAAAAGAGTTGTTTTTTAACCGAATAATCAGTTAATACGCCAAGTATATGAATTCTTTGTTGCTGAAGAGAGGATTAATCCACCAGCCACAAGAATCACTCTCAGATCTTAGAAGTCTGATCCCCTCAGATCATCCAAAAAAAAAGATCTCCCCCTCTGTGGAGTTTGTTGGGATTTTATAGGAGGATAAGGGGTTATAACTGCCCTCTTAATCCGCTCCTAAGTGGGGGTTTAGTCGCCCCATTAATCGGGTGTAACAACCCACGTAAACCACTCCCCAAATCGTGGGTGAAGAGCAGTTTTGGGATTGCTACGATTACGCTTGAACAGGTCAAACGCAAGTCTTGCGTTGCTAGGCATGAACCTGTGTATACCTTTGGATGATGCGTTAGTGTCTGAGCTTGAGTTGCGTCCGCGGTTGAATTCGTACCGTGTTTGTGCTGCGTTCAGCGGCTGTGAACGCGGTGAGTTAGAGCTGCATTTGTACTATGTTTGTGCTGTGTTTAGCGGTTGAAAACACTGCATATATGCTGCATTTGAGCTGTGTTGATAGCTGACGATGTAGTGATTACGTTGCTTTTACTCTGGAATGTAACCACTTGTATCTCAATCTCTGGGATGTAGGGATGAGTTCCACACCTCGATTTGAAGAAATTGTTGCCTTGTAATCCCTTCTTAATTGATATGAAAGTCATCTGATTGTAACCTTCTTAGTCAAAACTGTTGGTTAAAGTCTGACAGGGGTCAGCTATCTATTGTGATTTTTAGACAGCCTACAGAACCTCCTCCAAAGTTTTTGAAAGTTCGCGGTTGACTGGGATGAATTTTTGGAATACTTTGGATCCCGAGATATTGTTGCTTGATTTTTCACTCTGTCTGATTTGAAGATGTCACGGACTTGGTTGTCAGAACGTTGTGATTCGACTTCCTTAAACCAGATGAGGTAACTTTTGTGACTTGATGACAATGCACTTAGTCAAACAAGTTAAAGCCCATTGTGATGAAGATGATAACGGATTTGTCTGGATCCTTAAGATACTCCACTCAATCTGCGATGAGGTGTATTCTTCGTATTTTGTCTAGATCTTTCAGATACTCCACTCGATCTACGATGAGGTGTATTCTTCAGATTTCGTATGGGTCCTTGAGATACTCCACTCGATCTGTGATGAGGTGCATTCAGGTGAAACCGATTGGTGGGCTCGGATGATAAACTTTGTCTTAGAGGAGCTGGAAGAACCTTTGAGGATTTCAAAGTTGAGGACTCCAATACTAGCTACTCGGTATGGGATTTCTCTAAATTATAGCGGATTTTTTGCTATGCTGGAATTTTACAATCCTCACACCGGTACCTTTTTCACACCTGCTAGTGAATTAGGGTTTGCTTTTCATGAGATGTTTGAGATCTCTGGATTGTCATTTGGAGAATTGCCTTATGAGGAATTTGTTCCCCGGAATAGGGAATTAGAGATTTTGAAACATGGTGCCCCAAAAATCTATGATACTTATTGGGAATTAATGTGTCATTTCCAGATATGTGCACAAACTACCAGGAAGAGAGCCGGTGGTGTGAAACAAGGGCAATGGGTAGAGTACCTTTTCCGAAATTTGTGGGTCAAAGATATGGAAGTGACTCGTTTAGCTGTTAGTACTTTGGAGGAAATCAACGAGCGAATCAATGATGCCACCTCTCACTATACTTGCGAGGTAGAGGAAGACGTCTTCCCACCTTTCACCACATTTGAAAGTTTCCATTACCAGGCATAAATCCCAATCTCCGACGCAGCCTTGTTTGCAGGTTTCCTTACCCTTTGGTTGAAGCGTTGCATAGTACCCACTAGGCCGGTAGATGGTATCACAGTAGATGTACTATATCCAGCTGTTCTTCTGACTTATGGACGGCCCCTGAATCTCCTTTCGGCCATGGTATGTTGCCTGCAGAGTGGCCTACAAGAGCTAGCCTCTGAATTTGTTGCTGTCAAGAAATTAGAATCGGATGGGAAGACTACCATTCAGACTCCAGCTCCTCGGGTGTCGATGTCATATATCTACTTGGTATCCTGGTTCGTATTACATTGCCCTTCAATAATGTCAACACCTGAATCGAACGATACCTCATTCCCTCTCGTTCAACAATTGGAGACCGCTCGATGGGTTGGTTGGTATCAGGTTAAATTCCGTGAGATATTTAGACGGGATTATAATTACGAAATTGCTTGCAAATTTCCTGTTTTCGAGGGTGGTGCATATGGAGAGATCCATCAAGACACTCCGGGGCGTAACTCTTTCACTACACTTAGTAGAGGTGCCTTCTGGTGGCTTATAAATATTCGTCTGGGCTATCTTATTTTCCGACAAGGGAGGAAATACTTCATTGAACCATATCAGCCTTATTGCTTTTCTCGGCAATTCGGCTATGATCAGATTTATGTCGAGAATCCAAACCCCACCCTTGTGTACATAGGTAATGTGTATGAAGGAGCAAGAGCTTGGTATTATTCGATAGCAGGCTGTACTGGGGCACAGTTCAAGTTGCCACATAAGATGCCTAACGTTCATACCTCTTTAAGCTTTTGTACCTGGTATCAGGGTGCTTCTCAAATTTCGGCCTATAATATAAATACTTCCTGCCTGGAAGTCATTCGAAAATGGTATGCTTCAAAGTGAAGTGCCAAAAAGTCCTGTGCGAGAGAGGTTAATGAATACTTATCATATGAAGAGGCGATTACTGAAGATGATGGGCGACAATCACCAGAGGGGTTCCAAGAAGATATTAGGATGCCCGATGCTCATGAAGTAGAACCTTCAAGAGTTAAGACTCGGAGTAAAAGTGCTACCGGAAAAAAAAGCACTTGACTCAACTAAGGAAGCTGAGTATGATAAGCGGGCTCGACGAAAACTAACACTCAAGCCTCCTACATCTAAGCTTATGTCAGATGCTCGTAAAGCATGGCATGTAGAAGAGGAAGAGCGAGAGTCTATTGCTATGGAGTTCTCGCCTCATCCTGGTTTCCCCACAGTTGGTCCTGCTTTAGGAGGCCTAGTTTCTTCCACTCATTCACTGAATGAGGAAGAGGGTGCAGACGAATCATTTGCGGGGGAAGCAAAATCTTTCTCTGAAGACGCACCTCACAACGTTGCACCTACTGCTTCTCTCGTCGGAAGAGACGGACCTCCTGTTAAGGACTCCACAGTGGTCGCCCAAAAAGACTTAGGAGCGGATGAATCTCCTTCTGCTTCTATGTTGTTGCTGCCTATAGGAGACACACAACCCAGCCCCATGACCGGAGTCATGTCCAAATCCATCACTGCTGAGAATCTACCAGCCTTTTCGTCTATAGATGAAGAAGGGCCTATGAATTATGAACCTTCCTCCCATAGCGATGATACGAACGACACAGATGATGGCGGTGATGAAGATAACGAGGATGATGATGACTCGGGTGATAACAGCGATGTCCTCAGCGAATGGGATATCCCGCCGCCACCTTCTTCTGATAAGGCGTCAGCCTACGTTCCTCTACTTCTCACAGGTAATCATTGTTCGTTCCGAATTATGACCTCTTTTCATTCTGCATTTAAGTTGTTTTCTTATGCAGATCCTACAACACTTGAGGCGACTGTTGTTGCTTCTCCTCCAACGCAACAACTTGTACCACCAACATCTCACGCATCAGAGCAGTCTTGCTTGGAGCTCTCGATGGCAACCCTTCCACCGACGACTTTATTAACGATTTTTTTGACCCCGACGGAGGTTGTAGACATGCTGAGATCATCCAAAGCAACGGAATTTGCGGCTCTCTAATCGAGTCCATCTCAATTGGATGTCGACATCCCTTCTCAGGCCGCTACGCCGAAGTCACCTGCTGGCCTCTTACTTGGCTCGACAACTTCAGAACTTTCAGTGTCGTCTCCCATCGTCGTCTCGAGTCTAACAGACGTTCCTGATTTCCTTAAGATTTCTCTTGGTTATTTAGAGATTCTAGCAAAGAAAGTGATTGAAGTTATGCTGGCCGGTCGAGATACTTTTGAAACCTTCAAGCTCATGCTCATGAATAACAACCTCA